GCAGCAAGTTTTGGCCGGAGTGTGGTCAGTCAGTCTGTTTAAGGTCGGGGAAGTGATAAAACACCGTAAAATAGGAGCATGCGAATCTTTCTGCTGAACTTCCAGTTGCTCTTCCATATGATTCGCATAAAATAGGATCAGTGGAACATTTTTTTTGTAGAACCAAGAACACATAATCTTTTTTGTTCAAGTTCCCACACACGGCGCTGGTGTTGGGTTTAATCCTACAAGAAATAGTAAATATAAATATAAATATGTATGAATGCTTTGTTTTTACGTGGAAACCCGAAGGGGAGGAAACCACAGAACTTTTTGAGCTAATGTCCAAGCCACTCTCATTTTATTAGTCTCTCCTCACCATTTACATTGTACAAAGAAGCTCTCATTAATGGAGGTTACAAGCTATTCTCGAGAGAGAAGTAACTATGTATGGGGAAGAAAAAGAAGAGAAGGAACCCCAAAGAGTCATCACACAACGAAAGGAACTCCTATTTATAGAGAAAGGGGGAGGAGAGCATTTCTACCCTAATGGCCACATGGGCCAAAGTGGGCCAGATGGGCCAAAGTGGGCCGGATGGGCCAAAGTGGGCCGGATGGGCTGAAATGAGCCTCAACCTTCGGGGTCCATACTAAGTCGATATCTTGATCTCTTGAACAGTAGTAGGTCGGGATAATATATCCAACAAAGCAGTTATAAACATGTTTTAAAGAGGCACTGGAAATTGGCGGCAGTAAAAAATAATGAACTAAATTGTTCAACTTTTAAATAAATCGTTTGTTTACCGTCACCGATTTTATGATATTCAGACTTCTGATGATTCCTAAAGTTGCTAAAGGCTTTCTAAGATGCAACATTCAGATCATCTTTTCTTGTGACAGTTTACTCCCTAAACATGTATTCTTTGGTTGTACACTCCTTGTACCCACTAGAGTTTCTTTTACGTAAATATTGTAATAGTAATAATTAGACATAAGATAAATTTAGGATATGTGGTGCACCGGCTTAGATTCCACGTACGTTTCCTCATCTAGCATTCCGATTTTTAAATATATTTATGTTGTTACAAGTACCCACCCACCCCAACACACATATATGTATATGCGTGTGTGTAAGAATATCTGGCCTAAAAACTTCCAAATCAGCTATTATTTCGATAACTCTCAGATGATAATCTATAAACTATAACTCTATAGATCTAAAATAAATACTCTATACATAACACAATTGTATTCAACATAAAATTTTCTTATAGTACATCTATGAGATGAAAATAATCTAACTGAGCCGGCTCAACCTGGTTTTGACTTCATACTTATTTATATCCCGAGCATTTCAAGCATAAACATATCCATGGCTTACATCACAACCACTACCACTGACGATACATATTCGAATTCTGAAGGGCTTACATCATTAGTGAGATAGAGTGTTCTCTGGCCCCTATGCCAAAGAAATCTTTATGGTTCTTTGGATTTAAAACCAAAATACCAAAAAACAAAAAATCATCCCACGTTATCGTGACATCAGCAGGTGTGTTCTGTAAGTACTCCTGGAACAAGCCTTTCACTTTTGCCTATAAGTAGGCGTTTTTCCGTTTGGGAAAGGGACCGAATTTTTGTACTCTTATTCTACCAAATTTATTACATAGTTTTCTCACTATAGATTTGCTTCAACTTCTCTTCGGATATTTAATATCTCCGAGTTCCATAGTCTATCATATACTATTCCTGTTTATTATAAGCGCAATAAAAATTGATAAACAGAGTTATGTAAAATTGTAAACAATGAATCGTGCAACAATAAAATTAGTATCACAAAATATAGTGAGCCAAATGCCAATCTCTTCTAATACTTTTCCGAGATGTATGTTTGAGTTTTACTGTAACACCCCGCCCCTATTCACAAGTATACACTTACGGTAGAATGGTAGATCAACCCCCTTTAATTATGCTTATGAAAGTTACACAAAAACTGAAGTTAGTAGATTTCGTATAAAACTGAAGTCATATGAGAGCAGCAAAAAAATAGTGTAGCAAAAAATAATAATTTGGAAATAAAGTGCAGCAAATTGAACTCATATGATCATATCTAATGCTCACTACCAAAAAAACTCGTTATAGGCACGATTTGTTGGCAAGGAATCGTTTCGTTCCTAATTTGGCTCGGTTGTTGGCTTGCAACAGGTAAACCTCAGGTTTTGGCGTGGAAATGTTGACGTCAAATGAAATTTAGGGGTTGGCACGGAACTTCCGTGCCAAAGACCGACCCAAAGACGAAAAAACCAAAAAACTATGGATAGGAAATGGATCCGATCCAAAATATGTGTCTAATTGCGTTGGTTACGGAACCGAGACAAGAATCTGAGACAAAATCCGTTCCAAAACCGAGAAAAATCATAAGTTCAGATGAAATATAGTATGGCAGGGAACACATGCATCCGTGCCAACATCTTCCTTGGCAACATTCGTGCCAAAAAGTATCCGTTGTTACTTTCGAAAATTCTGCTTCCAAATGTAGTCGTTGATTTCCGAGACATACTCCGTCCCAAAAGTACCCGTTATCTACGGACATTTTGAAATTCCGTGCCAAAAACCTTGCCAAATACCTTGCCGAAAAATTCTATATATAGAACACATCTTATTATGTATTCATTCGTTACATTCTTATTAATAAGTGGTGATGAATTTTCAAGAACATGGAAAGTGGTATTATTTTATATTTTCCATGTGGTTGAAGTATATATATTTAGATTTCTTAAAGTAATTATCATCAGCGTATAAGGTACGTAAAATTTTCCTGTTAACTATAAATTAATATATCATGCATATCTTGAATTATGATTATTATGAATGACTATATACCCATAGTATATAATTTGAAAGTTTAGTAGTTATATGTGTTTGCTTATTCAATAGATAAATAATTTCTTAATTTTTTTAATATTCAGGCACAATGAATAGAGAAAATAGAAATTGGATGTATAATCAATATGTTGGCAATGGTAGAGGATTGACACAAGATTTTAAGAATTGAGTTACTGAATTTGTTAAGTTTGCACAACAACAAACACGGTACATGGATGTAAATAAGATAAGATGTCCGTGTAATAACAAATTTTTGCATGGTGAGGAGGTGTGTTGGGATTTATATACTAATAGTTTTATAAAAAACTATTAAAATTGGACCTCTCAAGGAGAACCAATTGAGGCATGTTATTTGCCGCAAGCTGTGGGAACATCTAACTATGTTCCAGACGAGATGGCTGGTTGGGGAAATTATGAAGATATGCAATGGGATCAACAAATGGTTTATGATTTGGGGACTTATGCATTTCATAATACCCATCCGAATAATGATTTCACTGCACACACTAATGCGGATGAGGGACCAAGTTCATATTTTTATGATGTTGATGCGTTAGGCACTAGATTTCAAGATGTTCTTAAAAGTGCGGATCAACCATTATATTCTGATTGCGATGGTCATTCGTAGTTATCAGCGGTTTCTGAATTTTGAATATAAAGTCAGAATATTATCTGTCTAAGAATTGCATGTCCAGGATTCTTGACTTTGTTGGTAACATGTTACCACGTGATCATTGTCTTCCCGACACTTATTACAACATGAAAAAATTCGTCTCTAAATTGGGTCTCCCCATGATTAAAATCCATGCATGCCCCAGAGGATGCATGTTATTTTGGAAAAATGACGAGGGATTGACCCGGTGCAAGTTTTGTGATGAGGATAGGTACAAGCCTATTACTGAAATGAGGCACAAACCACAAAAAAGATCTGCAGCATCGAAATTGATATATTTGCCTTTAGCACCACGTCTGCAAAGATTGTATGCCTCAAGTGCTACCGCTAAATACATGACGTGGCATGTAGAACATGACACGGAAGAAGGATTAATGTGCCACCCATCAGATTCGGAGGCATGGAAGCATTTAGACCGATGTTATCCTGAATTGCTAACACAGAAGAAGGTTTTGCCCTGTATAGTCAATTTGGTGGACAGTTCTCATGTTGGCCAATTATCATCACACCGTATAATCTGCCACCAGACATGTGTATGAAACAACATTTTATGTTTTTATCGTTAATGTGTCCTGGACCTGGTAATCTTAAGAAATGAATTGATGTGTACCTACAACCATTGATTGAAGAGCTGAAACAATTATGGGATGTAGGTGTTCCTACATATGATGTTACGATAGAGCAAATCTTTAATTTGAGAGCTGCGGTTCTATGGACCATTAGTGATTTTCCAGCATATGGAATGCTTTCTGGTTGGATTACCACAGGCCTTATGGGGTGTCCTGTTTGTATGGAGATGTCGAATGCATTTTGGCTATAAAAAAAAGCTGCAAACCATCTTATTTTGATTGTCACCGCATATTTCTCCCTCAAAATCATCCATATCGTAGGGATAAAAAGTCATTTCGCAAGGGGTGCATTGAGCGTGATCCTCCACCTTCGAGGTTGACAGGTTATCAAATTCTTAATCGTGTTCAGCACATTCCGAGGTTGACCCGACTTCTGTTCCTACTTCCCTTGAATATATTTGTTCAAACATGAGCAGTGAATAATGAACGTTCTGATCAAACGGGCCATGAGTCTGTCCAGAATGTGTCAAAAATCTGGATCTTACCCCATGAAATGCACAGGTATGGTTGCTTTTTAGCTTGTCAGTGTTTATTTATATTCGTTCTTGAATATGTATGATAATTTGAAATGGTATTCATGTGTAGCAACCCTATTGTCCTTAACTCTATAATTTCGATCATTACCAACAATTTCCATGGGCCGTGGCACTCATTTAAGCATGCAGATGCATATCAACAAGAACGCTGGCGACGATTGTTTGAGGTACTTTTTTAAATATACCATTTCACTGTAGTTATTAATTTTTTACTTTTTTAAAATTTTCTAAGGACATTAATTAAATATGCTTATTTACTGTAGAGAAAGTATGAGTGGGACCCATGATATAATAACAGAATAAAGAAGAGGTTTCGTTCTAGGACATCTGAATGGTTAAGCAATAACATTGGTCGGGCAAGACATCAGAACAAGAAGCCGGAGTGGATATGTGATGGTGACTAGATGTTGTTGAAATAGTATTGGGGGTCTGATTCATTCAACAAGAAGAGTGTTGCCGGGAAGAAAAACCGCAACTCCCAGAAGGCGAAGGAGTCACAGTATCGTGGCGGGCGGATTCCGGTCAGTAGACATGTTGAAAAATGGTAAGTTCCCACTTCACTTGTGTAGTTGAATTATTCAGTACTGTTTAGAACTATTAACATTAAATTCTGATATATTTAGTATTTGAGTGTTCATAGACCAAAGATTTGAATCGGGCGCCTCTTAAGATTGAAGTGTATGAGAAGGTGTATGTTCCCAAGGAAGGTGATCCTCCACAGCGTGCTGTTGAGACTCGGGTATGCTCTTTATCTGTTCCGAATATATATTAAACTTCTATTTTTTCCGAATATCAAAGTTACTGATGATGTATTTTAACATTATGTATCATCTGCAGCAAAAGTACAATGAGTTGAAGGTGCAGGCTGAATCTCAAGGGAAATTGTACGAGGTTGATGATTCTGAGCTTTTCTGCAAGGTGGTTCCAACTTATCGAGGACGGCGGTACAGGACGGGGTCTAAAGCGGAGTCTCTGTCCGGAAGTGTTGAATGTTCAAGCCGGCACTCGGGGCCCACCCAACATGAGATTGATACCCTTATCCAAACGCAAGTGGAATTAAAGCCCGATTCGCGCAGCACGAGAAAGTTTGGCGAGAGCAGATGGAGAACATGTCCAACGCATTTATGTCGATTTTGCGACAAGTCCAAACCTCTAACCCGTCTGTCACGATGCCTAATCTGGAAGCTAAGCTTTGCGTACCCCGACCCCTGTTCCGATGAACTGCCTGCATGATTCACCCGAAGTTCGAATTGATGATCTATTTTCCGACATTAATCAAAATGGCACTGTTGGCTTGATTTAATGTCGGTTGGTTGAATGTTATGGACATCTTTTTAATTTCTGTTATGGACATCTACTCTTAATTTTCTGCACAAGTTTTATTGCCATGTCAATTTGGCATGTTCAGACATTCTTTTTATGTTTATATTGCACAATTCAGTATTATTTTAGATATATTGCATGTTTTATTGTACAGTTTGCAATGATACATGTGCTTTATTTTACATATATTGAATGTTTATTTGTGTATAAATTATACTGTTTGGTTGAGAAAAAAAAAGTATACTGTATATATGTACGTACATCGTACATATATACGGTATACATTTTTTTGAATCAAATTACATTTGGCTCGGAAATAGCCGTCCCAATCTTTGACGCAGGCGTTCAAAATATGTGGCGTGGAAACCGTACCAAAAACCGTGCCTAAATGAAATCCGAGCCAAATGTAACGTGATTTGGTTGAATGCTATAGGCACGCAAAGTTCCAACCAAATTCCCAGCCAACGTTTGACACGGAATTATAAAACCGAGCCAACGCGTTTGGCTCGAGCTAGGTGGCACAGATTCCAGAACCGTTCCAAAATCTGAGCCAAGACCGTGCGTCTGTGAAAAAGTGAAGAGATCCCTACCTATATCCGTACCTATACCGAGTTTTTTGGTAGTGGCTATAAAAAGTTAATCTGGAAGTAGAGCACAACAACTAAAATAGTGCAACAAAAAAAACAGGGCATTAAACTGAATTCTTTCCTGTATGTGTGAATGCATGATGTATTCATGCTAAAGTAGTTTATTTGATTAGTGATTTGTATTTTTATTTTGATACTTAGTCCTGAATATCCAAAAAATATAACAAATGTCCCCAAAAGTAAAATTGGAGGATAGTTCATTCCCTACTTATATATTTAACTCTAAAAATTACTATTTGTTGATGTTTATTCTTCAATGCCCAAAGGCCTAATAGTCCTTTGGTTTTCGTAGAAATTACTTCGTTAAATGAGCTGTTTTAGTGAGTGTTTAAGGTAAGAGAGCAGTAAGAATATGCAAATATTTAGGCAAATTATACCGTGCAACCGGCGCACCATGATGATGGTGCGTCCGGTTGCAAAACGACGCAGCTTGCCCCCCCCCCCCCTTTTTTTGCTTTTGTTGTTAAAAAATGATAATAACTTTTTTATTTTTGATCTGATTTTTATAAAATTTATATCAACATTTTTTATTTTTCACGATCTTTCAAATGAGACCAATATTGCTTATGTAATTTTAAGAAATTATCGAACTATTATATTAATGAGTATTGGATTATAAGGAAAATCGAATCTGTTTGGGAGATTATAGGTTTGTGAAATAGAAGATCGAATCTGTTTGGGAGTGGATCAGTGGCCTCAGTTACATTTGATAAAACATTGAGTTACATCTTTTTATGAGCGAGTTACATCTTTTTATAAGCAAGTTACATCTTTTTATAAGCAAGTTACATCTTTTTAAAAGCGAGTTACATATATATAAACACGAGTTGCATTTGACATGCCTGAACGCGACTTACATATATTTACACGTAAAGTTACATATTTTTACACGTAAAGTTACATATTTATACACGCGAGTTACATATTTATACACACGAGTTGCATTTGACCTGTCTGAACGCGAGTTACATATTTTTTTACGTAAAGTTACATATTGTTACACGTAGAGATACATATTTATACACACGAGTTGCATTTGGCCCGACTGAACGTGAGTTACATATTTTAACACGTAAAGTTACATATTTTACACGCAAATGTTAATATGTTAAAATTACATAGGCAATATTGGTCTCATTTGAAAGATAATGAAAAATAAAATATGTTGATATAAATTTTATAAAAATCGGATCAAAAATAAAAAAATTATTACCATTTTTTAAAAACAAAAGGAAAAAATAAATAAATCCGTACCTGTATACGGTGCTCACCGTATACCGGTATACCGTATACCACTCAAATATTTAGAGGCAAAGTGGATCCAGTTGTATCGAAGTCTTAAGAATGATTACAACACTTCTATCGAACGACGCTCCGACCCTCTAGTTCAAACCGAATGCTACAGAATAATTAGAGAGAAGTCAATGCTTAAGAATACAAAGTTGTTAACTCTTTACAATTAAATAAGTGCTACTATCTATACTACAAGTTAGTAGGTGAAGGGATGATGTGTCCAACCCTGAGTGAATGAAACTCAACCATAAAATCTTCCATATCTATTCATTTAACTATTTAAGATGCTTCCTGCCAATTCCCAGATTTCCTGTCAACTTTTTGTGGAAGTTTGGTCTTGGGTGGCTGCTGATTCTAGTAGAGAGGTCCAACCGTCCAAGTGGCGGGACTGCCGAGCGGCACTACCTGTATGGGACTGCCGAGCGTTGCTCTTGAATTAGCTAGATTGCAAATGAGCTAGTATGCAGATTGGGCCTCCTGGGTATTTGGGCATGTACTGGGTCTGGGCCCAATATCCCAACACTATTTAATTTTCACTTTTCAGTTATATCATAATTAATGCTCATTCGGGAACTATATATATTTTTATTGGGCCTTGTCCTAAAGGATCAGATTTTGTTAGTGTAATTTGGTTCAATGTGTTGTATTTTAATTGACTTCAGTTGTAAGTCTCGTCTACTTTGTTTGAAATAATTTAGTTAGATCTCATCTTAAATGAGTTAAAGAAATAAAAAATTCTTGAAATCGGAGTACAAAAGTCATGTTTAAAGTTTGGTACTGCTGAAACATGGCAGTAGTTAGTCCTATTTTGGGAATAAAAATATGATAGTCCTATTTTGAAATATGCAAACATTTTTAGTCCTATTTAGGATAATTTCTCTTAAAGAAAGTAGACTATCAATCATATACCACATATTTCTCAAGAATTTGTTTCACTGTGAATTTGTTAAAACTATTTTAAAGGTTTATTTATTTATTATCAACTCTTTTTTATATTAAGTTTGCTATACTTTTGTGTTTTATTTTTTTTCATTTATTTTTAAATTTAACTAACAAGTTTCCAATTTTTATTTTCTTTCTTATTTTAGCTTTGAGTTCTTCAATTTTTAAATCTAATTTAATTTTTATAATTCTTAACGTGTTTTTTTTTAAATTATATTTTCTTCTACTTGTTTTTTTGGTTATATTTTACAGTTTTCCTTTTTATTTTTGTAAATGTATTTTAGATTTCTTTTTAAGTACGTTTCCTCAATATTTAGAAATATTTTACGTTTTTATAGCATCTTTATATTTGTAACATTTATTATAATGCTTTTATTTTGAATTTATCATTTCCATAAGTGGTAGGATCACGTACAAAGGTTCAAGCTTTAACATTAGGGACATACGGTGTCTGGTGCCTATATTGTACATCCGGGTCACTACAAAAAAATTCCCCTGTAGTCACGGATTTGTCCGTGACTACGTACGTGACTAGAGGTAGTGACGGACCTAGTCCGTGACTAAAGTGTTCCGTCCAACCCATTTTCGCCTCCGACGGGATTTTTTTTAAATTTGAAATTAGTCACGGACAAGTCCGTGACTAGTACCGTGACTACAGTTAGTCACGGACGTGTCCGCGACTAATTCCGTGACAAGTCCAAAATTGATTTTTTCAACGTTCCAAATTTAAAGTGCACCGACAATTCGTACAAAAAAATGTAGTCACGGACACATCCGTGACTAAGTCCGTGACTACAAAATTTATATATGCAGCCTCGGCTTCATTCAACAAAATCACACCTTCTACGTACTCCAGATAGAATTCCAGATAGAATTGAAGGATGTAATCTACCCATCTCATATCATTTTTCCTGTTTATGCAGATAAGGTATGTAATTTGAATTACGTATTTTTTGTAAATTAGTTAAATATGTAAATTTGTTAATAAATACATATGTAAGTATATTATTAAATATAATATTGGCAATACATATGTTATTAATTTTAAAATATAGGATTAAAATTACGTAAATTAGTTAAATACGTATGTAAGTATATGTGATTAAATATAATTTAAATGCATATTATTAATATTAGTTAATAAATGTAAGTATTATTTAATTCAAATGACTTTATATATATATATATATGATTAAATATAAGTATATAATTTCTTTATATTGGCAATTATTGTTAATTAAGGCGGCCTAATTTAGGATTAATAATGATTTAAATTAGGGTTAGTTAATTTAATTTAAATGTGTTTATTATATATATATGCTCAAATTATTGGATTTGCTCATATTATTTAATTTAGTACGTAAATTGTTAAATGTGCATTATTAATAAGATTAAGATGTTGATAATTTTAGTATTGTGTATTAAATTAATGTCATTAACGTATTGTGCATGTTTATAGTTTAATAATATTAATTATTGGACGTTAGTTAATTTTAATGGAATTTTAGTGAATTTTAGTGAATTTTAGTGAATTTTAGTGAAATTTTAGGCAATTAGTTAATTTTAAGGGAATTAGTTAATTTTAAGGGAACTTTAGGGAATTAGTTAATTTAAAGTGAATTTTAGTGAATTTTAGTGAAATTTAAGGAAACTAGTTAATTTTAAGGGAATTAGTTAATTTTAAGGGGAATTTTAGGAAATTAGTTAATTTTAAGGGAATTTTAGTGAAATTTAGTGAAATTTAAGGAAATTAGTTAATTTTAAGGGAATTAGTTAATTTTAAGGGAATTTTAGGGAATTAGTTAAGTTTAAGGAAATTTTAGTGAAATTTAGTGAAATTTAAGGGAATTAGTTAATTTTAGGGAATTAGTTAATTTTAAGGGAATTTTAGTGAATTTTAGTGAAATTTAAGGAAACTAGTTAATTTTAAGGGAATTAGTTAATTTTAAGGGAATTTTAGGGAATTAGTTAATTTTAAGGGAATTTTAGTGAAATTTAAGGAAATTAGTTAATTTTAAGGGAATTTTAGGGAATTAGTTAATTTTAAGGAAATTTTAGTGAAATTTAGTGAAATTTAAGGGAATTAGTTAATTTTAGGGGAATTAGTGAATTTTAGTGAAATTTAAGGAAACTAGTTAATTTGAAGGGAATTAGTTAATTTTAAGGGAATTTTAGGGAATTAGTTAATTTTAAGGAAATTTTAGTGAATTTTAGTGAAATTTAAGTAAACTGGTTTATTTTACGGGAATTAGTTAATTTTAAGAGAATTTTAGGGAATTAGTTAATTTTAAGGGAATTTTAGTGAAATTTAGTGAAATTTAAGGAAACTAGTTAATTTTAAGGGAATTAGTTAATTTTAAGGGAATTTTAGGGAATTAGTTAATTTTAAGGAAATTTTAGTGAAATTTAAGTAAACTAGTTAATTTTACGGGAATTAGTTAATTTTAAGGGAATTTTAGGGAATTGGTTAATTTTAAGGGAATTTTAGTGAAATTTAGTGAAATTTAAGGAAATTAGTTAATTTTAAGGGAATTCGTTAATTTTAAGGGAATTTTAGGGAATTAGTTGATTTTAATGTATTAATAATACTCCACATATAATATGTTGGTAATGTTTATAATTTAGAATTTTTAACCTGTATAATTTTTTTATTATAATATTCAGGCATAATGTATAGACAAAATAGAATTTGGATGTATGATAAACATGCGGTATTGTACGGAATGCAATCAAATTTTCTTGAAGGAGTTGAGGAGTTTATTAAATTCGCACTTGAACATCCGGCTTATATGAGTGGTGATAAAATCAGATGTCCATGTTCAAAGTGTAAAAATCTCAAATTTAAACACACAGAAGAAGTTGGGTGGGATTTGTACGCGGCCGGTTTCCTTCCCAATTATTACAATTGGACTTCTCATGGTGAACGTTTGGATTCATCTGTTTTACCACAAACGGTAGGTTCGTCTCGTAACGTCCCTGCAGAGATGAGTGCGTGGGGAGACCCTGCTGAAATGAGATGGGAGCAACGTATGGTATATGACGCATACGGTGCATCGATGTCTCAGTTCAACCCCCCACAACCATCTAACGATCCTCCTGAAGCTTCGACCTCGTATCAACCACATGAGGATGAAAATCCGATATTTTATGAACCTTATGTGGATGAAGCCGGGAAGAAAAATCGGATGTCCGAGAAGGCATTGACGACACAATGGCACGGAGGCCGCAAACCCCAGAGTAAACATAAAGAAGCTCTTGTAAGTCTTATTCAAATAAACCTACACCATTTTAACCTTTTATTTTTTTACATTTATTTAAACCTTTTTCTAACCTTGTAGGCGGGGCCTCGAAAGAAGAGGGTCCCTATCCTCAGTGTAATCAAACACTGTTGGACGAAGAGCGGTGTTGAGTCGCCAGCCAATCTACCACCCCGCCTTGCTGAAATCGAAGTATGTAACATCAATACTATTATTTCAAATTGAAGTAAATATCATTTGAATAATTTTTTTAAATGTTTGTAGACAAAGTATAACGCAAATGTTGAAAAGAAGCGGGCGGAACTTGGCTTGACTCAAGAAGATGACATCGATTCTGATGTGGAAGATGATGCCATCCTTGAGGCAACAGGGGTGTACAAGGGTCGGCTTCCATGCCTCGGGGCTGAGGGGCAACATATTTTGTACGATCACAGCGGCAGCGGAGCTTCATCGTCTTCTCAATCTAGGCGAGGAGAGGATCCACGCATTGCCCAATTGCAGCGAGAATTGGAGGAGCAGCAGCGTGCATTTGAACAGCAACGGAAGAATGATGAAGAAACGAGGGCCCGGCTGGAAGCAATGGAACGGATCCTTGCTGGATATCAGCCTCCGCCTCAGCCTCATCCTCGGCCGTACATTATGCACGTTGAACAGACTCCTCAGGTTCCGCACATGGGTGGTATGGGTTACCACTCTAACTCCGGTTATGGTGCCATGCCTGCAATAGGGTCGACATTCGGATCTCTGTCGCCTGATATGCTCAATCAGTTTCAGTCATCGGGTGGAGGCAGCCGAGGAAGCCACCGAGGAAGCCACCGAGGAAGCAACCTAGGAGGCAATCGAGGCAGCCGAGGAAGTTCCCGACCCTTGGACACCGTGGATGCAGAAGAGGATCATCATCGTGACTATGATGATAATGATGATGAATACGATTATGATGTATCTAATTTTTATCACAATGGAGTCCGACGTACGGGCATGTAATTACATTATATTGTTTGACATTGTATGAGATTTGTTTTTATAATTCTGTCTGTAATAACATTTTGTATGTTTAAGATCGTATGGAATTTATTTTTATTGTAATTGCTCTAAAATAAAATTAAAATAACTTTTTATTTTTTATAAAAATTGTTTTTTTTAAATCAAAAACATTAGTCACGGACTAAATCCGTGACTACTTTTTAATCCGGAATAAATTCAATTTTCGTTTTTTTATTTTTTTATTTAAAATTGTTTTTTTTTTAAAACAAAAACATTAGTCACGGACCAGATCCGTGACTACATTTTATCCGGAATAAATTCAATTTTTTTAAATTTATTATAGTCACGGATACGTCCGTGACTACCACAAAAATAAAAAAAATTAAATTGAACTTAGTCACGGCTCGTGTCCGTGACTAACTCAAAAAAAATTTAAATTAAAAGTAGTCACGGATATGGTCCGTGACTAACGTGCCGGAGGCTTATTCCGGTCAAGATGTAGTCACGGACGTCGATCCGTGACTAATCCGTGACTACACATAGTCACGGCCAATGATCCGTGACTACATTCTAGTCACGCAGAACTAGTCACTGAACTAGTCACGGACGAAGTCCGTGACTAAAAGTGTTAGTCACGGACTTTTTACACTACGGTCCGTGACTAAGTCCGTGACTACAGGCGAATTTTTTTGTAGTGGGTGTATGTACACCCGGACCAATTAAGGAAGACAACCCAATAATTAATATATGCCAATTTTTTTTGGTGGCATTTTTGTAATTGAAGCGGAAAATCATGGCTTCCGTTAAATGAGCAATAGTGTACTTCTAGTGAATATCTGACCTATTTTATTGAGTATTAAGAGGCTAACAATGAGTATCACGATCTCTGCTTCATATCTTCTAATTCTTTTTCTTTTTCTTATTTTTTCTTTTATAACAACTTATTAAATTATATCTATAATCCACTTCTATTAATTTCAATATGCAAGTCTAATGAGCATACATAACGAATGAGCATACATAACTTACAAAGTGCACATTGATATGAAAATCGTAAGGGTTGTTAGTTGAACATCACAACATTTTAATTGAACATCAAACATCCGCTATTGAGATGAAAATCACGGTTTCTGGTGAATGAGCACTAATGAACTTTTAATGAGCATCATACCTATTATGTTGAGTATCAGGAGTCTAATAATCAGAATCGTGATCTCTACTTCATAACTTCTAATTCACTTTCGTTTTGTTATTTTTTCTTTTATAAAAACTTATTAAATTATATTTATAATCAAAACCTATGCATTTCAATATGTGAATCTAATGTAAAATAGTACTTTAAAAAAATGCATTGATATGACATTTAGAAAATGAGCATAAGGTTAGTACCTGATGAGCATATGTAACTTACAAAATGTTCATTGATATGAAAACCGTAAGGTTTGTTAGTTTGACATAACAACATTTTTATTGAGCATCAAACTTCCTCTATTGAGATGAAAATCTCACTTTCTGTTAAATGAGCATTAATGAACTTTTAATGTGCATCAAACCTATAATGAGCATTAAAACACTTTCAATGAGCATCAGACTTATTCAGTTGAGTATTAGGAACCTAACAATGTGAATCTAATGTCTGATGCAACTTTTAAAATTTGCATGAATATGATATTTTAAATATAAGCATAATATGAGTACAAATTGAACAAACGTAACTTACAAAATGAGTATTGATATGCAAATCATAAATTTTTTAGTTCAACTTCAATACATTTTTATTGAACATCAAACCTTCTCTATTGAGTATTGAAAACATGACATTGATTGTCATGGTCTGTGCTCCTATATCTATAATCAACTCCTACATGAATCTAAAAAATAAACTGAAATATTTAATAATATTTTATATCATACATTTTCATAATAATTGAATATAGCATTAAAATAGAAGGTTGCTAAAAAACAATAAAAAAGAAAGGAGAACAAAGAAAAAACAAAAAAAGAAGAATAAACAAAAAAAAGAAAAGAGAACATACGAAGTCAAGATGAACGTGACTGGAGCTGCGGTGGAAAAAGAAAGCAGCTCAGCACTTCAGCCTATTAATTATCATCAAACTTGCTACTAATTAAAAAAAAATCGGGGGTACATGCACACTCGACTCTCGAGTGTAGGATATAAATTTCGTACATTGTCGAAGCTTAGAGTCTATTTTTGAAAAAAACTAAGTTATTTTTGAAAATAAATTTTAAAAGTGGAAAAGTGGTATTATTTTTACTTTTTGAACTATTTCAGAAAATTCCCTATTCGATATATTTGATTAAAGCCCAAGTCTAATTCTGTCAAATTGTGAATTCTCAAGATTTCTATCCGTGGGCTCAAGGCGAATCTCGTTTTCGGCCTTAGAGGGCCACGGCCCAAATAATTGAGATTTTGAGAAGAAAGCAGCAAAAACTAGGCAGCTAGCTATCATACGTCTGTTCGTTCAGCTTCGTGGCTTTCGATCCAATCATCCAAATTTGAAGCGCGCCTCAGGACTGACTGAATTAGAATTTCTTTTGGAACTGCCAAGGTATTGATTTAATCAGTTAATTCACTTCCAATCCTATGTTAAATCAGTTTTGGTTTCTTACGATCAATTCCAGTTTTATATGGAGTAATTTTTTGTATTTGTATATTTAAATCCAACGTGGTATGATTCATTGCCTATTTTTCATCTTTTGCAGTTTTTTCAATATTTTTAAATGTTTTTTCATCATATTACATGCCTAGTTTAAAGTTATCTCTAATTCTCTATGATTTATATCAGTATATGTTTAGTTTAAAGTTACTCATTGATATGAACGCCTGGGTTTTATTGTGAGAAGCTTTTAAATGTTATGGAGTGGAGTATTAATGAATTATAGTAGGGTTGAAGATGAAGCTAGTGAAGACAGGTTTAAATGGATACTCGTAGAGAACAATTTTTAATCTCACGATAACCAGGCCTTATTGATCAGCCGTATATTTTCTCTTTCGAAATACCACTCTACATGACGGCATGCTATTTTTTTCTCTTTTTAGATATATTTTCTTTGGTAGTATATTTTTCAACTCTGTATATTTATTTATAACAAATTAATTTGTCTGTGCATTTCTAAAGCTTTATGTTTGTGTGCATTATATTCATCGTATCTATTACATTTAAAATGGTCTATTTTCATTTTTTTAGTTTATCTGTTATGTTAAGAAATCAGTCTCTTTGTGAATTAGGTAGTATGAAAGTATTTTTTTAAATCTTTCTTGTCGAATCCTAAAGTATGAACGGCTTGGTTAGATGCTGCTGAGAAATGTTGTTAATTTCTTTAGATCTTATGGTTTATATTTCATTTCATTCACTAATTTAGCAAGATGAGTAACTCAATTATAAAAGAAGATTTAACTACTGGCATGCTATATTCAACCTTTTATTACAAGTTCTCATTTCTAAGAGAAGAGACCTAGTAAGCATGAAAGTGTATATGATAATATCTTCATCCATGTTGAGATCTTGTGCATATTTCTATACTTAGGTCCCGTTTACTTATCACTTAATGGGCTTTATGGGAGTAATGATTTAATCAGTAACGTATATAGCTCTGTTTTCTTAGGACTTAATTTAAAGGAAGACCAAATTGTATACTCCTTACGATTCAGACGTATCAGCTTCCTTTAATAACCCTGGCTTCTTCCTCCCGATATTTCATAGCTTCTCCGAGTCATGATATATCTTCCGCCCTCTTCAGCCTCTAAGCAAACTGGTGGCCTTCACCAACAGCACCAAACAAACTGGCGAGCTTCGCCGACTGGAGCTTAGCAGCAAAGAAAGCTCTCATCCCCTTCACCTCGATCAGTATTCCTCTCATTCTATATGGGTTTCATTGTATTTGTTTCATTTTATATTGTAGAGTTTCGCCTTTTTCTCAATCTAATTGCTCACTTTCTGCGCAATCCAGTTTCAATTTTTGTTATAAATTCAGTCCATTTATTGAATTTTCTTGTAAATTTCCTCAAAAGAAGACCGGAATTTTTGAAGGGCTGAGGGAGTATACACATATAGTTTACTTGTCTACATGGCGTAAGCCAATTTTACTTTAGGTTGACTATAATTTTTGTGTAGATTGGAAATTGGTAGAATTCTATCACCATTTCAAATTCTTTAAATTGAGTGATTATATTTTGGAAATATAGTGCTATGGTAATAGGATAGAAGTTGATTGAGCACAATGGGGTGTTCAAAATCTAGAGCACACAGATGAATTGTGGGGATGACATTGCTAATACATTAATAGGAAATGTTTAAATATGATATGATGCTGTCAAAAAAAAATGAAAATTTATTACGGAGTATAATCTAATGCAATTATTTATTTAACTAATTCAGAGTGTAATGATTTTTTGACATTTTTAAATTATCTTTGTCGATAAAAAAGTAAACAAACAATATATATTCGGCACTAGTTCAGACAGGAGGGTCATTTGGTCATCTTACACCATTCAGACTACTCATTCAGCACACATAGTAAAAACTTTGTTATATCAGTGTCACTTAATCCAGTCAACAGATCTTTTAATCCATACCGACGTCTTAATGCACTCAGGACTTGATGACAAAAAGTAAACAGCCCCTTAGAGTCTTAGAGCCATATAGAACACATACCCTATGAGCATAAACTCTTAAACCCATAATGAATTGAAGCCTTCAGAATTGCATTGTAGGGTGGTCTAGATTATTGATCTATGGCACAGTGTTAAATGGAACACTTGGAAGTTGGAACTCAGTTTTACTTCAAGATACATTTCAGTTATAATATTATGACCTCTCCTTGATTGCACAAACAAAAACAGCTTGCCTGTGAATTTGTTAATTAACGTGTGTATTTGATATAAAAATATATTTTTGAGATAAAAATCTTTCTTGTAGGAAGTTGACTTTATATTTAACATTAGCTGCATATCTTGACTATTATTAATTTATTACTCATGAAACAAATCATATTATGTTAAGTGTTGTTAAGATATGAACTTTATAATCCTTGTTGATAGATAATTAGATATGTTTATGGTCAAAGCGATGCATCACCAAATATGAAGTCAAAGCATTACTACTAAAAAGAACGGAGGAAGTATAATGTACGGAGTATCTTGTTTTACATGAAGAAACCTGTTAAATGAAAATATTTAAGTGTAATATCAACATTGTTTTATATGTTATTGTTTACAACAAACTGATTCGGATGTAGTGTTTTTTATATTGTTTGTCAGTTTTTTTTTTTTAATTTTAGGAGTATCTATCACTTCAAAATGGTTGTATTATAATATTAACTACAGAATATTACATTAAGATATCTGCATTTTTTGCTTTCAGCATTTGATTTTGTTTTCTCTCAGCATTAGATATTTTGCAGAAAATGCTGGCAAGACAGTGTAGAGCTTCTACTCATTGGATTAGGATTTACTCGGGGAGGAACATGGAAATGGGGAGTTTTCTTGGTCCCCTACAGAGTCCAGGGTATTCCAAGGTTGCTGCAGCTGAGCCTGCCGCAGCCGATTCCAACCCGAAAAGCTTTGGCAGTAAATATGAGGTTTGAACTTCTAAGGATCAACATTCTATGTGATTGCTAGCCTGCTAGGTAGATCTGTAGATGCACACCTAATTTCTAAAAGATGAATATTTTGATATCTTGCTCGAAAGAGAATATTCTGAGTATTTGAGGTCTGATTTTCAAAGGTAAGTCTGGAGAGTATAATTTTTAGTACGTAGTATTTAATTATTTATTCATTGCTTAGCAATGGAGTGGAAGGACTTGACCTTTTGCAGCTTGAGGTAAAAACCTTTTTACAAGAAAGTGATGATGCATTGTCTACTTTGATGCATGTATAAATTACATATCCCCATCAACCTTGCAAGAAAGAAAGAAAAAGAATCATCCTAGGAAATTTTTATGGGTTCTGTTTTAGGCATAATCTTATGTCAAGGCTTCACTGATACAATCTTCTATTGGATGTTTTGAGCCCCGTCCCCCTTTTACGGTTACACTATTTTGTGGTTGCAGTATTTCACCGACGTCAAGTGTATGTCATACAAGCTAACCATGCAATTACATTTATATGTTTCTGAGGGAATTGGTGATGTTTTGGATAGGAATCTTACATTTTACGATTTGCTTCTAAATATCAGCAGGCGAGTGTAAATAAGATGTTTTGGGCTAAACCATCGTCATTAGAACTGCCCCCTGACTCATCACAAAGGATAATAGAGCCACAGTATGAGGGTATCAAGCGTTTCATCCTCAAATTGATGATGTTTTACAGTAAACAGAGCACATCCATTCGAGGGGCAAATGTTATTTATCGCCGCATTACTCGTCAGGTTGATGGACCTGCTCTATATGATGGTCAGTCCATCTTCTTTGTTGTGTTTTCCAAACATTCAAACTTGTCTTAAGTAAAAGAACTTCCGTTCTAAACTTTCTTCCCACTTTCCTTTTCGAATGTCCTAAAATTTTCTTCCCATTTCCTTTTTGGAATGGTATAAATGGATGATATTGTTTCTCACTTTCTCTATTTTTACATCACTCACAACGATACACTTCCAATTCTTTAATAAGTGTGTCATGTCAAACAAGGAAGAAATTAGGTGGAAGAGAGTGAGTAGTAAAAATATGGTAACAAAAAAGTATAGCAATAGTAGCAAATAGTGAAATGGAGAGTCAGTACTGTTGCAACTTGCAACTTTCACATGTATATATTTATCTTGTTTTTCTTCTGATTATAAGCCAAGTTGCAAATGTTGTCAGTTCACAATGCATAGAACCATGTGTAAATTGGTAACCCAATAAATTTTTTAGAGACTTTCTGATGAATTGATTATTTAATCATAGTTTAAAATAAAATAAAACTTTTGAATTGTTTAGGCTTGAAAAGTATGCTTTCTCTTTCTGCGCTTTATTCCCTGTAAAAAAAAACTGACTTGGACCTATATTTTGTAGTATTTAGCTTGGAGAAAACATTTAAAACAACATTCTCTGTGCTTGTTCTCCATATGTGGCTATGCTTGAGACGATTGAAAGAAGATGGAAAGGATGGGTCTGAGCTGGGGCAGTATTTGTATGAGATATACAATCATGATCTTGAAATAAGAGTTTCAAAGGCTGGGGTAGTTATTGAGATTCTGTCCTAAACTCATTCTTTTTGCTTACTTACTGCCTATTATTTCCAAGGTTATCCTGCTTTGAAGCATATCATGAACATCCAAATTTAAAGGGGAAGGGGAACACCTTCATATCGTATTAATACTTTTTTTAGCATTTGTATTGACATCATCCATCCTGTTTCTTATTATAATATTTTAAAACTTTTTAATGTTATTTTAATGTCCACCGTATTTGGAACTGTAGGTCAACTTACTCTTGAGTAAATGGATGAAGGAATTGGAGAAGATATTTTATGGAAACATTGTAGCTTATGACGCTGCCATTCTTCCTGAAGCCAAGCAGGATGAGTTGCAAAATGTAATTTGGAGGTAAAATCGTGAATGTTTTGGTTCAATCAGAGTAATGCAGTATCTTTCTCACATTCTTTTGAGTGGTACCCCTGGATAAACATTTAAAAGTAGTTGTGGTACTGATTTGCTTTATTTAAGAGTTAAGGTACCAAAATGCATAAATACCAATAGTTAAGGACTTAAGGTATAAAGGTACCCATTTATGCATTTTTCCTGTATACTTATGAAATTATGATTTGAGCTTTTTGTTGCCTTCTATGCTCACTGTATGTTGCCTGAAATATTTATTTATTTTATAATAATAATATTGTAGGAATGTATACTCTGATGACGGCACATTAACACCCGATGGTCCTGCCTTGCTTCCTGTCCAGGCAAGTGTTCTTTCCGCTATCATGCTATGTTAATTACACGCATCCTTGTTCTTCAACATGGAGATCCTAGCTGAGTTGAGAACAACTTTCTATGCTATGTGCAATGACTAACAATGTGCTACTGTACCTATATCCAAGTCCCAGTATATTAAACTATGTTGATAAGTTTTTTGTTCTAAGGGAGACGAAGGATGATTCCCCTCTCCCCTTGTTTAAAATTCATGGGGGAGCTACATCCCATCCTCTCGCAAGCTTCTTCTTCATCCCAAATTGAAGGGAAGCTCCCTCCCTCCTCAGTAGGATATGTTTGGGTTGAGGTTTTAGAGGGAAAGCCTTTGGATGACTTAATCTATATCTTGATAAAATAATGTTTCTAAAATTGAATAAAAGGTGATATACTGATATGAAATGTTATACGATCACATATCATGCTTATCTTTCACTGTAGAAATACTCAAATACATATCATGATAGAGAATAAGCCTCCAAAGCCTTCTTCCTCCATCCTAACAGACCCTAAAAGTCCATCAGACATACCTTTTTTCATTCCAACAATGAAAAATGTGAGTTCCTTCTTTCATTCGCAGTCTACACCTTACCTATAATGTGCAAGGCTAGTTTTCTTTTAGCACGGCAAAAATAAAATAAAATTTACTACATATATTATAAATTTTTGGCTATACTTAAAATGTGTTGGGTATCAGCAGGCTATGTCACGGTATGTTCGCAGGGAGACCATGTGTCTTTCATTGACAGGTATGTTCTGCCCCATACTCCACCTTATTCCATCCATTTTTCCGCTCACCTTTTTCTTTTAGAACAGTGGCTGTGAGGGCATTTTTTAAGTTCTGCTTTTGTTAGTCTTAAACTATATTGACGAGTCATGAATGAAACAGATAAAGCTGCTTTGTTTTCGGGGAACTTCATGTTCACCTCATTGGATGGAAAACCCACCGGTTCTATGGGGAAATAGCATTCAAAATAAGACCCACATCTGATTCCAGGATGCATCTTTGCAATTCATAATGCATTTTATGTTCCAGTTGACTACCTATGAGAAGCAACTTGCTGAATACTTGGGCAAGAAATTAAGGCGGCTACCTTTATGCTGTCGTGAAAAGACATTCAACCCTGAGTTCTCACAATTATTGGTGAGGTGTTAGTTGGGGGGGGGGGGGGGGGGGGAGGGGGGAGGGATTAGTATACTTCATATTCACAACCTGCAATGCTGGAAAAATGCAAGTGTCAACACAATGTCTTGATTATTTTGGGTACATAAAAAATGAGAACATTATACCTTGAATACACAAAAGTTTGTAAAACACTTGTTTTGTTGCTTGGCGGCGTGCATAAACTATTATGTTTTATTCTTTTAAATGAAAACCGGGGTCTCCTACATGAAGCAATGGATAATATTCTCAGGCTATATTTTCAATATTTTTATGTTTAACTATATTCAGCCATGTCATGCACTCATGAAGCTTCTATGCATTTTCAATGTCAAGTTATGTTATTGTTAGCTGCCAGTGGACTGGGAGGAGGACTAGGGGTGGACACTTGGACCTGGTCCAAATTCAGGAACTGACTAGTTTTTTCTGAAGATCCAACTGGTTTTCCAGTTTCAGTAGTAGACTCCTCCAAACCCTTTCAGGATTCTCCAAATTAGTAGCTGACCCTCGACCTGATTAATTATGTCCGGTTACGGCTCTGGTTCCTCCATTTTCCTTACTCAGAATTGTGTAGAGTTTGACTTTCTATTCTAACGTGAGAGCTCCAATAATGATGCGTGTGGTTATTAGGAATCGGGAACTCTCTTTCTGTTTGGTCCATTCCCCTTCTATTATAGAGGGATGGCTGAACATCCTAATGAAAGTAGGATGGGCCGTATAAAACACTTAAATGGCCTTTAATTAATTATAAAGACCCACTAATTAAATTCTAACTAAACAAAGATAAATCTAATTAAATTGAACACAATCAATTATGCCCTAACAATAATATTCTCCAAATATACATCAAAATTATCTTTTTATATATCCTTATTTTAATTAACAAGTCAAACCTTGATTACTTAATCAAATCTTCCATCTCTCCTCTTTAGCCGCCTCTGGAGCGTCGGTCCTATGTGTCGATCTCTTAACTTTACTCATCTTTCATCTCTATTTCTCTAAACTACGGAGTTCTTCCGGCAGCTACGTGACATCATCGATTGTCATAGGCAATCAAGTGTCGATCCTCTTCCTGAGTGGCGGGTATTGATGGACACGGGCCGGGTGGCCCGACCCGGAACCGGCCCGGGACCGGTACTGTTCCGGCCCGGCCCGACTCGGTGGCCCGGTCAGTGATCGGTCCGGGTAGGCCCGACTCATGAGTTTTCCGGTCCGGGCTCGGGTCACCCAAAACAAGGCCCGACCCGGCCGGGCCCGGGCCCGGTTCTGGCCAAAACAATTTTTTTTTTCAATTTATTTTAAATTTTCGGGTTGGGCTGGGTATTTTGGGCCATTTGGGGTGGTTTGGGGGGTTGGGGGTGGGAGGGGGTTAATTAGAAAGAGGAAAAAAAAATTGATAATGGGCCCGGCCCGGACCCGGATCGGACCCGGTGGGTCCACCACTTCTGAACCGCCAGCCCGCCCGGGCCTAGGCCTGACCCGGACCCGGCCCGGACCCGAGTCCATCCCTAGTGGCGGGTCTCTTCAATGCAAAGGTGTTCATGTGAACACCCAAAAATATAAAAACAATGGGAATATATATGTTTGAATTTAGGGATGGACTGGGCCGGCCCAACCGGCCCGCTACTGTGTGGGCCCGGACCGGAGCGGGACCAGTTGGCCAGTTCCGGGCTTTTAGCCCGTTTGGGCGTGTAACACCGCCCCCGAGTATTTGTACTGTACTAAATCATGTATTGAACCTTGAAAAATGTATAAAAGCATTTTTACGTGATTGAAAATTTTTATCATTTCTATTACGTGAATAGTAAAATTTACGTGGGGCCCACACCGGATGTGGGGCCGCCCAATATTATCGGGACCATATATTATATTAATCTTGGACTAGATAATATGTATATGGTGGTGGATATCCTAATTGGGCCATGACAATGGCACAAGGTTGACCGGTTGGTCAAACGGGCCAAATTATCGATATCGGCAATTTATCAGATAACAGCCCAAAAAGGGATTCCGAGAACCTATAAATTAAAGTTGGGGATTGCATAATGATTCTAAGGCCCAATAAGGATTGGGAACAAGTGTTATATTTTATTTGACCCGATAAAATAAAATATACTTAAAACAGTCCGGAAAATACAACTTTCGGGACCGATTGTACACTCGGGTACACAAAGGGTTGACCTCCCACATAAGTGGGGGCCAACCCAAGTTTTTAGGCTTAAGAATGGAAAGGGGAGCCGCACCTTTTGGCTGCTGATAGAGAGTGAGGAGGATGGGGGACAAAGTGTGAAAGAAAAGGGGTCCCTCCCTCATTTCATTGATGAATGATCCAAAAAGGACACTCTCAACCACCCCAGCCCATACACTTCGTCCCAACCATCATTTTGGAGGAGAGAAGCTCTGCAAGAACTCCATTTTCATCCAGCATACACGCACCAAGTGGAGGGAGGAAGAAGAAAGGAAAAAGAGAAGAGAAAAGAGGAGTTTAGGTGGGAAAACTTGTGTTTAACAAGGTAATGACTCCATAAACCCCATTTCTGGTTCTTCAATCATTTTATACGATTATACAATCATATTCCACACCCTAGGACTGTTCTACACGTTTGGAAGTGTAGAATGAGGGGTTGGAAGGTGGTTCTAAGTCCAAGAACGGACTTAGAAGCCAAAGTAACCGGTTCACCGGAAAATAACCTTTTGGAGGTTATTTGTATTACTATGGGTTTTATGATGATAAAAACTTGTTAGTAACTTATCTAAGGTATTCAAGGAACTTTCACGGAGTTGAAAAGGTCGCCGGAGTTGTCGCCGGAGTTCGTTGAAGTTCGTCGGAGTTTCACCGGAGCTAAATCGGGAAGGCTAGAACTTCATAAGCTTCATTGAGGTGAGAAGACGGCTTTATGCTTTATAACTTTTGCGTGAGGCATGAGATTACCTAAAGTAATCAAGAATATGTTTTGTGGAATGATGAAAGATAACCAAGTGTTTGCTTATGCCATGATTATACATAAAACATAGTTGAAAAGCATGTTATGTAGGTTTGGTGATAAAAAATGTGATAACTTATTATGTGTGATGTTCCAGGGATCCAAAATGGTATTTTTGGATCAAGGACGTCAAGAAGTATAAGTGTATAAAATTTCACGTTAATCGGACTTCGTTTGGGCGGTCAAATGAGCGTTGACCGCCAAGACAAAGGTGATACCCGACCGGGTATGGGTAAATACCCGACCGGGTTTTGATTAAAAATGGCTCCAGAAGCCACTGCCACACTAGACCCGACCGGGTATGGGTGTAGACCTGACCGGGTCTCAAGTAAAGTTGGTTCCAGGGGCTACTGCCTCACCCCACCCGACCGGGTAAGGTTGGATACCCGACCGGATATTGGTTTATACTCAAAACGGGCAGTTTTGAGTAGGTTAACGTGGGTCGTTCGGGTGGGACCCGTCCACGTTGGATCCTAAGGATTGTTATATGACTATAGGGCTAGGCATTGTCCATAGTTAAAGGAATGAAAGGTTAGCCACATCCAGGTTAGGATTTGGTAGAGAATAGACTGGGGATTGAGTGCCCTTGGACGGTAGATGATCCAGAATACTCCAGGTGGGGTCGAGTACCCTTGGACGGTAAATGATCCAGAATACTCCAGGTGGGGTCGAGTACCCTTGGACGGTAAATGATCCAGAATACTCCAGGTGGGGCCGAGTACCCTTGGACGGTAAATGATCTTAAATACTCCAGGATGGGTTGAGTGCCTTGGACGGTAAATGATCCTAAAACACTCGGTAGTATGAATCGAAGGTAGACTATAGCTTGTGAGCTAGGTAACCGGGAAAGGAGTGAGAAAAGTTAGGTAAGAACTTTATCTCTAAAAGACTCTTTAAGGTAAATGACCTACGGGTTGAGTATTTTACGAGTATATATACAGTATGTATCATCGGGTGGATGAGAGACATCTATATATATGTATCACCCTATTTTTGGGTCTCGTGTCTGAAACATTAGTTATTCTTCATATAGCCTGCTTGTCACTAGTACTTCTATGGAGTACTGACCCCTCCGGGGGCCCTCACATTTTTCAGGTTGAGGCTAGAGTCCTACTACCTGCACCTTTGCCTAGGGTGATTGATCGAGAAGGAAGATGTGGTTCGTGCTTCCATTCTTATTTCAAATGTATAAACTGCTCATGGATTTTTGAACAATGTTTTCATTAAAACAGTTGGGGGCCTGTGTGCCCGTGTTTGCCACGTGTGGCTAAGTATCAAACATATTATTATTTACGCATTTGTTTGATTATGATATTGATGTTGATTGTACGTGTTTACTAATCGCTTTGGCAATAGAATCAATCAGACGCCTTGTACAATTCAATAGGGATGAACTGTTGTTGTTCTTATCGGATTGTACGGCGGTTGTCTACGTGGCTCGGATGCGGTCCGGGGCGTGACAATTAAGTGGTATCAGAGCCATCGGTTTCTAAACTATATAATTAACCTCTCAATATGGTTATCCTCAAAAAGTTTTGAATAAAACCATGAGCAACAGTTTTTGTACTTAAGGAACCGTTGGAAACCAAGTTATTGACCTCGTATTGTTAAGACAGTACCATTAACAGTTTGTTGGCCATAATGTTGGACCAAGTGGTGTCTTTTGTACTAATCCGTCAATTGACAATGAAACGAGTCTAATGACTCATTCCTTATTTCTTTCAGAAATGGAGGGTGGACGCAGGATTACTAGGAGGAACCCGACAGGGCATGTGCCGGGGGCCACCGGGCATGCCACTCGGGCAGAATCACGGACCTCTAGGGGTAGAGGCCGGGGCCAAAGCCGAGGAGGAGGCCGAGGCAGGGGTCGTGGGCGTTCTACAACGCCGACGGCAAGTACCACGCGTGTCGGTTCTGTGCACCCATCTAGGGCCACCGAACCGGACGATTTCACATATGCTCCAAGCACGGAGCAAG